ATTTGATCGCCGCTAATCCTGTCAAATTCGGTCAACCTTTCCAGTTGTCTTGTGCGGAAGCACTGGCCGCCGGATTATATATACTAGGTCAGCCGGATCAAGCCACCGAGTTGTTGGACAAATTTGGTTGGGGGCACAGTTTTCTTGAAGTGAACGAGGAACGTTTGGAGGCGTATGCGGCCTGTTCAACCACCGCCGATGTGTTGGAAGCGCAGCGAAAATTCATGTCTGAGGCAGATGCGAAACAGCGCGTGTCATCTGGTGGTAGGTTACAATTTGTTCACGGTCGTGCGAACTGACCTCCATTCATTCCTCTCGTAGGAAGCTATGCGGATGTGTACGCCGAGTTAGATAAAGCAATCAGTGAAACCGAGTCCAGGTAATTTGCCCGCTATGAAAACTTTTCAATTGACTTTTCTGCGTTCAGCACAGACGAATCTGAAGCCGAAACAGAGCCCGGTTCGGCATCACCAGGATCTTCCAACGTACAATCGGATGAACGCGCGTGCACAACAACCAGAGGTCAGCATTTTTACACATGTGCGAGTATCATTGCTATTTGATCTATGATTGGATTTTCCAGGATGGGCAAATGTCAAGGAACGATTTGAGTTTAATTGATTGATAGATTGATCAACAGCCAATTTTATGTGCTCTCCTGCGTTCTATCCACAATAAACTGAGGCTTAGTTCACAAAGGGATAATTTTGGATCAGGTAGGTTAAAAGCGATAGCTCATTGACAACCCATCTAGCAGTCCTTGTAAAATCAGTTTATACAAATTCTAAATACTTGTTACCTCACGTGGCATATTGAACAGACAAATTTTTATGTGAAGGTCTGTCAAGGTAAGCGCTGGGTGAAAAATTTATGGGGTATTCAGAACTTGCCTATGGATATGAAAGCCGTGACCAAGGCCATGCGTCATATAAGTTGCGTTAGGCTCCCGGGGTCACTGCAATCGATGGACCGAGACACTAATTGGTGATTTGATTAAGTGCCTCAAGCGGTAGAGTTGGTACATCTTCTCGACTTCCTCGCAAATCTAGTCCGCCCAAACCTCCGTCTTCACCTTGCAACTGCTCTCGGCTTTGTGCTTTTGCTATCCGAAAGACCGCCATTGTAACCGTTGCACGCATAAATAGTTTGTTCTCTCAGCTGGAATCAATGACCGCGGAGTATATGAGAAAGCAACTGGACAGCGCAGTCGATGATCAACTGATGTCACCATTTTTCCTTTTTTGCATAGCTATCTGATGGTTGCCCCCTAAAATACTAGATAGTGCAACTCCGATTTGTGGATCTGTTTCAAGATGCTGACCGTATATCACGCAGTTACTACACCAAAGATTCCATTTGGCGTTCGTAGAAAGCTGAATAGGAATAGCGTAAAAGTGATAGCTAAAGTCAAATGTGCCCAATGGTTTCCTCTTGTTCAACTGGAAATGCCTAAAACACTGAGCAGAGATTCACCATTCCTAGTTTTACGATCGCAAAGAAAGAATTAGTGAGTAGCGACCGATGGTTTGTTTAGTTTCTCAAAAGTATCGATCTCCCTCTCAAGTATTTGTCGCATCCCTCGCATAATAGAAAAAGTGACTAAATTCCAGAAAGTGAAACATAGCATGTTAATCAGTAGTACATGCGTTTAAGTAATGTGAGAAATCAATTCGTATATTTGTGACAAAACAAACAGGGTCGATGAAAACACCGTTACTTCTGTTACTTTTTCTCATTACTTATTATTACCCGCTGTTTATCATAGCGAAATCCAAATGGACAGTATCACGTAGTCGAAGAAATTTCCATCGTTAAAATAGTGCACTCAGAATGTAGCCGTTTTTCAGTTTCAAGTGGCGGTTTGTCCTGAAACTACTCACACTTCCTTTGGGAAGGTTTTCTAACCCAATTGCCGAATTTCAGTTCTTACTATTGTCCCATTTAGTTGCAATGTACAGGTGACCACCGATTGGAGCATATGGGGTCTACCATGATCTACAATGGTTCTGGCGATAATGGCGTCACAAAATTAGGGCACAGTTGACGACTCAGACTAGGTCATACGTACTTGATTTAACGTTTGATTCGTTGACGAAACTGCATTCAAGAGAAACCATGTTATCGAAAACAGTTGAAACATCTGTTCACTGCGCATTCTTTCCATGCTTTTCCGGTGAACACATGTGCCATAGTGTCTGTTAACATCCATTCGTTCGTTTGTTTTTGTTGTAGCTGGTGTTTGCCAAAACCGATCGATACATTCGTAATGGTTAGCGTTGGTCAGCATTACTCGCCGTTATTAGTCATGAACACACTGAGTGATTAAGCTCAACACGTGATACACGGAGAAGTGCATCGCTCAAACCCAATAAGGGGTGCGTTAGACCCAGATTACGATGACCTTTGGCTAGTGACCTGTCTGAGTTCGTTAGTGCTCTAGAAAGGAATACTGCGATTATTTTTCAGCCATTAGCACGGGCGGGGCAGTGCGACAGCGGTTATCGATTGCTTGCAGACCTAACATCCTGTTTACCAGCTAGGGCAGGCTCGACTATCCCACAGCTAAGTTAGTGAGATAAAACCCATGGATTTTCTTAATTTTACCCGCATCAGCTAGACTAGTTTTACGACCGCAAAAATAGTCTTGGCTTTGGTGAACACACTAGCAAAGATGTCCGCGAAAGTTGGATAAAACCATTCCAGTGTCCCTACAATGTTGCAGAAGAAACCTGTGTGGAGCACAAAGACTGATTTGCATGAACATCAATGCTTTTCGGCTGTTTTTGTGTGGCTTTCCGCTGGAAATCCACCAACGCGGTCTTTAAATCAATTGTACTCTCCCTTAATACGAGGATCAGTCAAGACCAACAACTTACGTGTTTATCTGATTGAAGTAACTTTTAATGCATTCACTGACTCATTCACGTTCTTTCCGACGCTTAGATTAGTCCTAGGCGATTATTTTACCTAAAACTAAGATTGAAAATTAATAAATTTTTAAACAACCCATTTCATCATCAAATTCTAAATGGGCAATCTCATTTTCAAAAAGGCGCTCATCAATGGATACATAATGTGTGCAATTTTCGATCCGATCGCACTTATACTCTGGCGGCTGCATTACCGACCGGTTCATTATGTTTGAATCCGGCTTTTATGAAAGCGTTCATCAGTAGATGCTAGTGAACAGGTATCGAGGCTTGTTTGACCCTAGCCATGAGTATGTCCACTTCGGCTTTTGTGTTTGATAACTCACCTTCTGCAATATTTAAACCGTATTCCAATAAATGTTTCCGTAACAAACATTTACAAGACCGCGGTACACTTGTTATAACACAGAAGAACAGTTTGGAGGCAGCCATGCTAATGTTACATTCGAAAACGCTGGGGCCTTGTTGTGGCAAGAGGCGTTATCTATAGTTACTAGTAAAATAAAATGAAATAAACAAAAATAGGAAATAGAGCTTCATTGGAAGAACATTTTGTGGTTGACATCGGAAAGCCAACCGCGGAATAACGCGTCAATGATAACTCTTCTCCGGTCACACTCGAACAATTCAGTAACGTAACTCTTTCCTTGGATTTCTTGGCTCTAGAAACCATTTCTTTTTTGAAAGTTGAGCTTCTTTCTGTCTAGGAGCTGCTCTTAATATAACACGGTTTCATCAGCATTGCAAATATCAAAACCATTACGACAAAATTTGTTTTATGGTGAGGTTGAGTCCACAATAATATCGGCGGTTCAATTTCTCAGACATGTACAAATGGAACCGTGAGCTGACCAAATATTGACTAACCGGACCGCCAAGAGGTCTTTGAAGACTGCGGTTCTTTAAAGGCCCGGTTCCTCTCAGTCGGATTTGATGATTCATACGATCACAGTGCCTAGTACGTCCAGCAACCCAACCGAGCTAGTGGTCATTACTTCCGTGTTACCCTAGAAAAAGTTAGTCTGCTTCACTGTGGGCCGTTTTAAATTGGGGTTTCCATTTTCTCCAAATGAGCTAGCTTCTCGTGACTCATCATCTCGATTTTAGCTCCTCGTCACTGGAACATAGTGACGAATTGTTTGAGAGTACGAGTCTTCGCTCGGTCTACCAAACATTGGAGCTTTTTGGAGGTCCGATTAACTTGAAGTACTTTAAATTCTGCCGACCAGTTAAATTAGTGACGCTTAATTTAGACTTACTGGCTGACCTAGATTAGGCACATGCAAATGTCTGATGTTCGTTTATTGTAGTGTGGAATACATGCTGCGGCTACTCTGGAACAGACTTCGCCATCAAAGTGAAATGGGGTTGTAATAAGGATGCGCAGTAAGTGAAGAGAAGGAATAAGCAATCCGTCGATAGTATGTCTCACCGGGCAATTATGACGTTGGTGGAATGTCGTGTTTGCCCAGGGGTCTACTCAAAGATTTATCTCTCATTCACCTGAGTTAGCTTCCAAACGTATCTCGTGTAGCTGATTCGAGTTCTTTTGTTTTTAACGTGACATAACTTGTGTGTAACACAGCTGTTCTTTTCTCCATTCAACTTGTTTGTTTCCCACTATTATGTTGTTTTCTTACCTGATCCTAAAGAATGCCAATCGGAAACTGAAGTGGAGGGAAAAAAGCTGTCCGAGTCTTCAACCCCTCTGCTACCCCCGGTACAGGCACCTACAGAAGAGGAAATTAACCAGACTTTATCTAAACAAGTGGCCACTTTAGTCAGCCAATTTGAGCGCACCAAATTGTTGCGTGAGGCCGGTGCCAATTGGAATCGATTTTATAAACGTAACGGAACGCGGTTTTTCAAGGTGAGATTCGCCTATTCTGTTCCTCTATTTACCTATCCTAACTTGTCCGCCAACCATGTTATCCACCGCTTGTTTGTCTATTCATCCCCTCCGCGATCTGTATGTTGTCTCACTGTTTATTGGTGATATTGCACCCCACCATCGAAGGTAAACGATGTTAAAGATCTCTGATGGTGTGATATCGCACTTTTTGTAATCTTTATAAAAACGGCTGCCCATGCGCGTCGTTCATTTGTACGGTTAGCGCAGAGGTGAAGCCAGTTCCAGCTTCGTAAGCTATACGTGGCTTTCAAACTCAGATGCTCCATGTCTTCTTTGAGTTTGGTGATCCAGGTCTTCAACCGATCACGGAGTAAACAGCATCTCACGAATAAGACGTTTGAAGAGAGCTCTCAAGAAGAGCTCCTCTGTGTGACGCTGGAAAACATGGCCCAACCACTGGGGAGGGAGCGATCGTAGTCATGAAGAAAGCTTTTCGCCGTAGACTTGCTCGTTGAATAGTCGCTCGCGCCACTTTTCTTTCAGGGCATATTATTGACACTAGTGTTCGAAAACCTCGGGTCTTTGGAGGCCCCTATTGGCGACGTCTCGCACCTGTAACGCAAAACATGACGGATACTAGCTCGATAGACTCGCACCTTAGTACGAAGGCGGATTTGGTTGTGTCCATAGTATTTGATGGAGTTATAAGACGTGACACGGTCCATAATCAGCTATCGGTTGTCCAGGGGGCCCCAAAAAATGACGTTGTCCTCCGTAAACTAGAGTTCCGTGATACAGTTGTCCGGTTCAAGTTGCACACATGGATAATCATGGAGGTTACGGGTTATCTCCCATTCATTGGCGTAGTTGGAAAGCACTGGAAACAGTGGATAACTCTGTTGCAATCTCTAGTTTAAGGAACCTCCAAAAACTCTTCTCTATGTTCCCGAACTCGATCTCTAGTCTCCCAGCAGTATGATTTTAAGTCTCGAGCAAGTCAGCTTTCACAGCGTTCCACAACTCATGTCGGTGGGCGGCATCAAAAGCGATGCGGAAGTAGAAGAACTTGCAGCAGTGTTCCAAGATTAGACGGAGGTTAAATATCTAAACAACGTAGCCCCTGCCATGACAGAAGCCGCCTTGGTTTGATCTGATATGCGCGTCAGTTGCTGCTGCGAAGCGATTAAGCAGTATTAACATGAGCAGTTTGGCCACTACGTCGTTTGGACTGATGTCCATGAGAACTGGAACTACCGGTTGCCGTTGTTCGGTTCACACGCTCCTTTCAGTATCTTGTGATATAGCCACAATGGCCGTGCGAGGTTTTTTGGCCTTATTTAGTGGTGGACCATACTGGCGCACGTTACAGGATTGTCATCGGACTTGTGGGGTTTCTATGGGGAAATCGCTAGCCGCTGGATAACCTGTCATGTCCGTGAACGCTGCCGTTGGTCGTCCGTGACCTCTAATTAATAAGGAATTCACCTAATCACAGTTAACCACTGGCGTAGTTACTTCCCTATCCGAAATCTGGAGACGCCTCCGGTAGCATTCAGCTGTGCTCTCCGTTTCAAGGATTCTAACCACAGCGGCACTATCTACTATAATGAGTTATTAGTATCAAGCCTACAGTATGATCTTTTATCCACTTCCATCTAAAGATATTGTGTCGCACTGATCGTGTCCTGTGGTTTCTGTCACTTTACATATGCATCAACTGTTTGACGTTTGCTGGCAAAATCATCTCATATTGTGGGGCTCACGTTCACTGTGTACCCAACAAACGTATTCTCACCCTTTCCCATGCCTAATTTTGTCTACAACATCAGACCGGTGCGATAGGCATAAGCCTGATTCACCACAGGTGACTGACTTTCTCGATTCAGAGATTACGTGGAAGATTTGAACAGGCAACTGCCAAAAGATTACATCCCGATGAAAAACAAATCTCGGAACTGTAGCAATCAAACAAAGGTGCGAAACCCCGTACTTGTCGGATCGAATCAGTGATCTTGGGCCAGATCTGATCTTGACGCGATCAGCTAGTTGGATCAAAATTTCAGTTCCCTTGTCTCTATTTTATTTACCGTGTTAACATGTTATACCACATTTTCGATAAAAGTATAACTGCCATGGCCTGAAGTTCATACCGTGAACAAAAGTTAAGGCTACGTTTTTATTGTTTTTCATGGGGTGACAGATATGTTTGCGTAAAGCAGAGATAGTATCCGCTAGGGTGTTCCATTATTCGGTATGTATATAGGAGGAACGGAGTGTCGTGTATTTTCACCCCAGTACACAGATCCAGTTGTTACAAAAGACGCGCCGAAGCTCATTCGGGTTATGTATTCATCGAGCTAGTTCCATGCCCCCAAAATCTGTAGGATCGGCATTGGACCAAACGTGAGTTTTCCGATCTGCTCCAATTGACGCGATCTTCTCAGACTACGTCACAACAGGATTCTACTTGCCCACTGTGCATCCTGGAAGTAGGCTGTGGCGTGGGTAATTTTGTTCTCCCCTTATTGGAGGAAGAAATGCAAGAGGAAGCGGTACAAGAAGTTGCCGGAGCCTCAAATGACAATGCGACCGAAGACCATTCCACGGATAATTCCCATACCACTGAGAGTACAGATTCTGGCGGATCGGTTTTAGGTGAGTAACATTCCATTTTTTCTGTCTCTGTTTGCGATGTTCACTTCAACATCGGGTCGAGCGTTTCCATAATTGAAGTTTAAAGAGTCGTGTGTTGAGCGAGCGCTGACCTCATTATCTTGGTCTTTTAATCGGTCTCTCAAATTATCTGACGTTGCTAGCACATCATTAGTGATTGTTATCTTCTGGATGACCCCGATCACCAATCACATTTGTGATTCTTGCGGAACAACACCTTCCGATTCCACAGGTTCCTCGTCCCTGTAACTAGAACATAGATAAATTTACTTCAGTCGAGCATGGATGTTCGCGCCCAAATGAAGATTCGTGACACCAAAAACCAGAGCACATGTGCAGTAGGAGCTCCAAAAAAGAGCGATGCAAGTCTCCCGTGATGTTCGATAGTTGTAATAACTTCTTATCTGAAATACATCCCGATTAACTGAAGTGGAAACGCAATGCCAACAGGTCAGTCGTAAGAGTTTGAACGATTAACATAATCCTGTGTGATGCCGTGTTGCATGTGCTACTGAAATACGGTCCAACTCTTTGTGAACAATCTCCAGTGAAGCATATCCACCGAGCCTGTAATACCTTGAATTCATATTGATCCGTTGGGGGGCCCCGAAATTTATCACGTGGATTCTTTGGCCGGCTCCAGCGGTTAGTTTCATTTCAAAACGACACGAAACAGTACCCAATGGGTACACGGCTCATCGTTCATAATAAGGGGGGGGGGCAACTGTACAATCTTCTCAAGGTTTCTCAGCGATATAATCTATACACTACTATTGGATGATTAGATGATAACTTTCATTCAAATGTCAAAAATAGCACTATTTTATTCTTACTACTTTTACTATTGTGAATCAATAAGGTAGAACGAGCGTGGTGCTCAAATACAATTCTCCGGATCATCAAATACTACAGCGGTTTCTTTCACACAACAACTACCGTTTGATCCTTTATGCACACTCGTCTCAACAGGGACAGGAGAGTACACCTCATTGAGTGATAAAATATCTACAAATAAATTGCCTGAGTCAGGGAATAGATGAAATAAAACACTCTATTTGACAGATTTTGATAGAAATGTGATGGAACGAAGGAAAGAGAAAGAGAGCTGTTGTTTTATTTCTGCTTTGTCTTAAGGTGTGTTTTTCGATGTGACAATTTCGATATCACTCCACTTTGTAATTATGTGAAGTATTCTCGAATGCCATCCCCCCCCCCACCCCCTCGTCCAGGGTCACCGCGAATCTATGCATGTGATATCTCCGAACAAGCAATTCATCTATTTCGTGATCGAGCTACCTCGTCCGGACTGTCCTGTTGTGCGTTCGTTTGCGACGTGACCAAACCAGACGCTCTGGAACAATCACTTCGGAATGCTGCCCCCACAGTTGAATCGGACGTGTCTGACTCGTTGCCCCAATTCGATTTGGTCACATTGATTTTTGTGCTCTCCGCCCTGGAACCGTTATCTATGCCGATATGTCTACGCAACATAGCAAGGTGAGTTGAGTAAACTCTACTTGGTACAGTCTAATTAGGCAGTGCCACTCTGACCTTGCGGATATTTCTCTTTTGCAGAGGTCGTTTGATCCACACATTGTTCTTCTACTCCAGATAAACCCGGAGGCAAATATATATATATATATATATTTAACGCGTAGTCGACTACATAGGATTAGCAGATGTGCCACAACATATAAAGAAAGAGATGTGAAAACAGTTGTAATGCAAATCAACGAATAAGAGTCTTGCGACAGGTACACCATTGACGCCGGTAACCAGCCATGTATGCAAGTGTATCAAGCCATAGATGTTCTCTGTCCTTGGGACCCCAACCTGGGAGTCTAGAGTGCCCTACCACTGCCAGGTTTGAGGTTAGCGCCTTCATTGTTTGAGCCCAGGTTATTCGCTGTCCACCGTGTCGCCGCTTCCTGTTAGTGTCTGCTTGCGCAAACAAAACCATGGGGCAATCGTTGAGCCGGCATCCGCAACACATGTCTTAGCCATCGAAGTCTCTGGAGCGAGATGACGGCACTCAGAGGACGACTGAGATNAGATTGTCTGCGGTGAAAATTCTTCAGCGAACCTCGTCGTTGGTGATTTGCTGTTGCCAACGTATTTTGGCGATACAAGGACAACGGTGGTCAAAGACGTACGTCTTCTGCATGAAGGAGCCAACTCTCACAGCCGTAGAGTAGGACAGAGCGTGTTGTCACATTGTATACGCGGCGTTTCAAGGAGAGATTGAGATCGCATCTGCGCCACAAGTGATGTAGGTTAGCGAGAGCCACTCGAGCTTTGTGGATACGCGCTGGTATTTCTTCCATCTGTCCTCTTGAGCTGAAACAACTCCCGAGATAAGTAAATTGATCGACGATTTCCAACTGGTCGTTCATGAGCGTGGGGACAGGTGTAGCCTCTTGCCAGTCTTGTATTAAAACCTTACATTTCGATGGAAAAAATATCACACCAATCTGCGTGACGGACAATGGTATTTTACACAGGAGGTTTTGAGCGTCTTCGGAGGAGTCGCAGAGTAAAACAATGTCGTCGGCATATTCCAAGTCACGGAGTTGATCACCTGGGAGGAGCTTCACACCGGAAGCTCTGCAGTTTTCTAGGGCGCTGCTTATGATTTTGTCTATTGCGAAATTAAAGAGGAATGGCGAAGTCGGGTATCCTTGTCGAACTCCGCTTGTGATGGTAAATGAAGGGGAGATGCGATCACAGACCTTGACGCAGCCTGATACGTTTGAGTAGACGGCTTTTCGAAGGTTTCTCAGGCACACCACTTCCTAACAGGCAAGTCCAAAGAGCTGCTCTATCAACTGAGTCAAACGCAGCACGTGTCCAAAAACACAGTGACGGTCGATCTACTGAACGTTTGACGTTGCTCGAGGATCTGGCGTAGCGTAAATATGTGATCAACGCAGCTCTGGCCAGGCAAAGATAACTCTGGTAATGGTTAGCATTGGTCACTTATCTTTACTTTTTGTACTATTTAATTCTCAAGACACTCCTTAGGCAATAGAAAGGGAGAGCTCAATGCATTCAACCTATTTCTCGCAGCTCTTTTTGAAACCTATTTACCTCGGTGGTCGGAAATCGCATCTCTCCCCTTGAGTGATAGTTCCTCGTCAACTAGGGCACTGCTTCTACCTAGAGAACTTTATTTCCGCAGGAAGTTGTTCATTTGCAGGATATCTGTGATGTGAAGATTATCTGACTGCTTTGAGTTAACAGATTTTCCCGTTGCTGCATGCTACATATTAGGTCAATGTTCTTCTCTGTTTTGTCCTACACTGCTGCGCTCCTCTCCGATCAAACCACCCCGGACGGGGAATGCGTGGCGGTTGTTTAATCTGAGATTAGCTAACTAACTGTGCCTTAGTGTCTCTGGGCAATGCCACAATATCAATCGTGTGTTCCACACGTGGGTCCAAAAACTCAAATTGTCAGTTTGTTGTCTTGCGTGGAACAGGTAAAGGCCAGTTAAATGCCACACCTATGTGATCAGGACCTTTTGTGGTTGAGTCCATCATGTTCCAGGTTTTTAGGCTACGGTTTGTCTTGACCAAACAGTATGTGCATTTGTTTTGATAAACCTGATTCAAAGACCGCCCCGATTATTGTCCGGAGAAAAGTACAAATAATTCGGTTCATCTAATAGCTGAGCTTGGACGTCTCGACTGACTATAATCCGGTTACATTTCGCTTCTCTTTTTCCACTCTTTGAGTTAAATTCACACAGGTACACTGTATTTTTCAACAAATTGAATATCCGTCGATTGTGGATCTTCTCCATTGTCCAGTGCCGTGTGACGTTCGACACAAATTAGTCCTATCCTGAGCGTAATCGTAGCTCTGTGAGTAGAGTTGATCGCCAGTAATCGGGTGTCATCAATGGATGACATTCTTGTTCGGAGATTTTTATTCTCTTGCTCTTTTAGACTTTTATTTGAACCATTTGTGTGAACGCCTCGGTCCATTTACAGTCAATCTCCTGCCATGTCGCACCCCTCGGGAATTCAAAAAAGTGGGTATATTCCAGGAACTGCGACATAGCATATCAGTCAGGGGTAGATGCTATTAAGTAGTCTGGAAAATCAGTTGGGAGTTTTGTGACAAAATAGACCGGATCGATGAAAAGTACGTTGATTCCGTTGCTTGTTCCCATTGTTTATGATTATGTAATGTTTATTCGTAACGAAATTTAGATATACCGGTCTGTGTATTCATTATTTATCCAAGAGATTGAAGACCTTTACAATGCCCTCAGCTTAATATTAGTAAATTGTATCCGGTATTCAGCCCTTTTTCAGTTTCATGTGTCTAGTTATCCCGAAACTACCCACCTTTCTTTAAAGCAATTTTTCTAACCTCATTATCGTATATTGATTCCAGATATTTCTCCATTCCTTTACAATTATAGGCTACTGGAGAATTGAGTATATGGTGTCCGCTATAATATACAACTGTTTTAACTATTATAATCACAGCATCAATGTTAACTCATTCGATGATAACGGGGATGAGCCAGATTGAACACGGGACAAACAATCGCATCTAAAATCGTCATCTAAAATAAGCAAAATATCTATTACGGGATATACTCAATACATTGATTTCTTCCTCATGTTCCAAACTGATTGTTCGCTGCGTAATCTATTCATGATTTTCTGGTGAAAAATATATAGCAATAACTCTGTTGACATCTACTCGTTTGTTCGCTTTTGTTGTTCCTAGTGTATGTTCCGACCGATTGATAAATTTGTTAAGGTCAGCGTCGGTAAACATAAGATCAAGTTCAACACGTGATTCATGAATAAAAAGTTCATCGCTCAATCAGTCAGGAGCGCATCAGACCCGGGTTACGATGACCTTTGGCCAATGACCTATCCAATTTCATCGGGGCTCTAGCAAGGACATGTGCGATTATCGTTGATTCACACGGCGTTTATCGATCGCTTGGATCTGACATCTTACTCCACACGCCCACTTACCAGACCATCGAGATTATTGTTCACCCGTTTACACGTTAGCGCAACAAAGCCTATCGATAGACCGAATGACCGTGGGTTTAGTCACCACATGCGAGTGCCCCACAGAACTACAGCAAACCATCGTTGCAGATTACAAAGATTTATTTTTAGCAATCATAAATCGTCGTTTGTCTCAGCCTGGCTCTCCTTTGGAAATCAACTAGCGCGCTGTTTAAACCAATTGTACACTCGGAAATCCGAGCATTAGCCAAGACAACCGGCTTCAGTTGATCCAGTAACTTCTGTGCTTCTCTAACTGAGATAATTTACGGCGTATTCACTGCTTCATATTCGTCTTCTTCTTTGCGACGCTTAGCTTGGTTCGAAACGAGGCGATTTCTTTTCGAAAAAGGCGTTCATCAATAGACACATATTGAGTAAAGTCTTCAATCAGATCGCACGTATTTTCTGGTGGCTGCATCATCGACTGATTCAATGTGGGTTTGAACCCAGTTTTGATGAAATCATCGATCAGTACGTGCGGATGCACAGACACCCAAGTTTTCTTGACCAGATGTATGCCCATGAGGATATCCACTTCGGATTTCATGCTAAGTTGATCATCTTCGNGACAACGTATTCCAGTAAATGTTTGTGAAACGAACATTGGAAAGACCGAATCACACCCTGACCCACTGATTGCAACATTGAAGAACAATTCGGAGATAGCCGTACTGAATTGAATACTGCGGTTTAGTTATGGAAAGGGGCGTTATCTATTCATTATAAAATGGGGTGTTTGAAAAACTATCTTGCGGCTGACATCCAACAGCTAACTGTGAAATAGCACAGTTATCACCCATTGTTTTCTGAAAGAATTATGACTGCAGGGAAAGCTTTCTCCATCTATACCTCGGAGATATCGTGGAGTTTGAAACTTTCCAATAACCAACGATGATAACCTTTCTCCAGTTATACTCCCACAAAGCAGTAACGTGACTCTTTCTTTGGATTTCTTGGACCCAGAAACTGTTTTTCCTTTGAGAAGTCATGTTCTTTCTGGGACCTGCTTTTAATAAAAGGCTGTTTCATCTGCATTGAAAATGTCACAGTTAGCATATCCATGTATCAACTGCGATAACCCCTCTCGAAACTCGTCCACTGCATCAGGTTGCACTGCCAAACCTTGACCTTAAACCTACGAAGTAATGCACATGAGTAGTTGCTTGTCTCTTGCTGTACAGGTTTGAATAACACATCTGTCTAAACAAGAATGAAACCAACTTTTGGAAGCCTTGAAGTCACGATGAGGCATTCTTTGTTCTAACAGAATTGTCTTCTTACAAATGATGCTCTTCATCATGGGGAACTCACCGCGTTTTTCCACCGTAGCAGTGAACCAAGCCAAGGTTACCTCATTCACTGTTTCGAGCTTTTCGTTGGTTATCAGGTGGCATCTTTCCTCAAATGCTCCAGTGTTCACAAATAGTGGTTGTATGAGATATAACACTGTAAAGCGTTTTTTCTGAAATTAAAAGCGACCCCACTATGGAACTATAAGTTGCACTTGGCTGATACAGCATTCCAAACACGTTCTGATCGACAGGCGATCGCACATTTTGATGTCCAGTGACAGTTTTTGATTGTTGGCATCGGTGTGGCTTCCTCGCAAAGACTATCCAATCAGTGAACCGTGCCATGTTCGTGCCACACTAGGTGAAACACCACTGACAGTGAGACATTGCAGGTTGGCCGCTCAATGGCCGTCCCGAACATTGGTCGACGACCAAGTGAGTAGGTCTCAGGAACTGTGACATATTGAGGGGGCGACAGTGCATAGTCAGAAACTACGTTATTACACATGCGTTTGGTTTGGGTTTTCTAAAAAGTGGGAAGATATCAGAAAATGCGACTTCTCCGGAGTGCGACCTAGCAGGAGATTGGCTGTATGTACGTTTCCGTCGTTTTGCTTTCTTATACTACCGTGACCATTTATCGAAAGTATTAGTTAAATTGTAACTACTCACGAGTAGTGTATTTGAAAGAGTGAATAATCCACGCGTTTTTGGCAGCCCATTTTTAGCATGACCTTGCGGACAGAAGTAAAATGCTTATCTTTTCGGTTTGCGATTCCGTAATTGTTCAGTGTTCTGAAACCGGGCGGACGTCTTCTGTTTCGTGATTATGGCCTACACGATCATAGTCAATTACGTTTCGGCCGATCCACACGTCTGTATCCAGATCGCCCGTCCTACGCGAGACAAGATGGTACCCTGTCTTATTTCTTCTCTGTGGAAGAACTCACTGAATTATTCACCCAAGCTGGATTATCTGTACATCACTGTGATTATGTATACAAACAGACTACAAATATGGCTGAACGATTGGCTGTTCGTCGCGTCTTCGTCCAGGCCGTGGCATACCGTCCTTTCTGATCGAATGGTGTGCTGAAATACCGACCACCGGGGACGTTTGTGCGCATACCAAAACACACACATGAACACAAAAATCTGTTGTGTAGATATTCACTCACGTTGGTTGTTATCAGTATGTTCTAACTCCACCTAGACCAAAATCATGTGATCTTGATCAATAATACTTTTCTTGAGTCCTGACTTTATTTATTTTCGTATTGGTGGGTATATTCACGTTCATCCCGGAGTGATGATTTCCGTTTTTGTTAGAAAAGTCCTCACCGGACTATCTGGACGCTAAAATAATGCCAAATATTAAAAATACCTGTGTAGGTTTATAGATCTTTTTCCTTGTCACAGCCGGTTGTTGTACATGACGGAACCTCCACGAATTTCGGATGTGGAGTGTGATCTGGGCGTTTTGCAACGGAGAACCCACATCATGTAATCTATTCTTTAACAGAGCTCTCCCTAATTGGTACTCTCGGTAATTGAATCCGGCGGTTAGTTCTTTCGAGCACTCGTGGTTTGTAAACTCACGTGTTGTTAAATCCCTGAATTATCGGAATTCAACATAGTCATAGCACGCTCAATCTGTTTGTCAAAAACCTTCCGGAAAGATTTCATCGTCGCCTACATGTCCACTCTAGGGCCTAATGAGGGTATGAGTTTTCCTCCACATTGTAGTCTTGATAGACGAAGTTTTTTTCGTGGTTTCCACACTTGAACTTCAAATAACTATTATATGTCAAATTTGATAAGGGCTTACGTGTTAGCTCACGGTCACCTGTGAGTGGTGCTTGGACATTAGTGTTATTACTGATGACTGGGCATCTTACTGTCTTCATCTTATTCCAGTTCATCCGGTCAGCCGTATGCTAAGGATGGGTTGTATTCCAATTTTGCTCTAATTAAAACCCATCAATCATA